TCTGCCCTGAGGGAGGCATCTCCATATAGAACATTGGAAACTGGTAAAAAAGAAAGAGATATAGCACCGTAGCAACATTCTGTAGGAAAGCCAGGGTTGCCAGGAAAGGCTCCCTAGCTGGAGATGAGGCAAGAGGAAAGGAGCAAGGCGAGAAAGGTGAAAAATCCTCCTCAGGGTGGCTGTGGAGGAAGAGAAGAGACATCTGGTTAAGAAGTATTGAAGAGGAAGAAATCCCACAGATGGACATACTACTGATGGAACTCTACCATGATTGTACAGGGGTGATGCTTTGATTAGAACATAAGAGTTGATATAGGTCCCTAGGCCAGAAAGGAAGAACTAACTAACCCAAGGGTGGGATTAAAGGAGTCAAGTGGAATAGTGTGAAAATGTAGCATAGGGAGCCTCCTAAGGCTAAGAACTCATTAATTAGGTGAATTTTGATATTCCTTCTCGAGTTCCCTCTCTGAGGAAGGAGACTTCAGTCACTCACATAGTGTTTGAACGCCAAAAAGATTTTGCTGAAGGTCATAGATAATTTCCCTTTTTAAAAGGGGACACGTGTGAGCATTGTGCAGAAGAGGACATTGCTAGAGAAACAATGTGATGAAAACCACCATTTCCTTTGGAGGTGATCACTCCAATGTCTGGGCACCTTTGGTTGGGAGGTTTCATGGCTTGTACTGTCATACATGGTGTGTGTTTGTGTTTGTGTGTGTATTAGAGGAAATACATTTTGAGTAACTGGACATAGAAATAACAGACATAGAACCCACTGCTGTCTCCTACTCTCTGGGATCTGCCTCCCTAGGAAGTGGCTCACCAGCTGCATTCTGTAAGCCTCACACGGTATTGATGAAGGTAATGAGGTTCTGTCATGTTAAATCCAGGCTAGTCTCAGAAAACGCATTTGGTAGGTGTTCCCTTTAGCCACTCTTAAATTGTGTGATTAAAACCGTGCTCCTTGGAGTCAGAAACATGACATCTTACATTTGATTTAGAAGCTTAAAGAACAATATTTATCTATAGTAGAACCCAGTTTAAATCCTCATTTGTCTTTGAAGCATTATCAGGTATCCAGCAGATGTCACTATACAGTCTGTATTCATTTTTTTTGGCTTTACCGAGTAATGTTTATAGGAAGGCTCAGCTGGGGACTATGCTTTATCAATGGTTTAATGACAGTTTCTATTAGTTTGCTGCTATGTGTGCTACTAAATCAAGTTCCCCAACAGAGTATTTTTGGGGGAAGTACTTTTCTCTATCTAGAAGCATAAGATGCAGAAATTTCCCGGCTATAATATTTCATTCTCTCACCTACAGGAATGCAAATGTTTAAATAAATAAACGTACATTATGTTTTACCATGAATGCTACTTATGTATCCAACTTCAATATAAAAGTAGGACTGAAGATCATCTGAACTGTTTTTACAACACTTGTGACACCAAATACGTGCAGTTTCCCCCCCACACCAACCAATTCTCCTACAATTCAATTGAACTCTGATGCGGTCTACCTGGAGTTAGCATCAGATCCCACAAGTTAGGGGCTCAGCCCCACATGATTGCCCCCACTTCAAACCCCAATTGCAAATCCCAGAGATTTTTTACTTCTGACTGAGCGGCTATAAATTGGGAGTTCCCAAGACCCCCCTCCTCGGGTTCAATAATTTGCTAGAAGGACTCACAGAACTCAGGAAAACAATTTACTTACCATTCCTATTTACTTATTGTTATAAAGAGTACAACTCAGGAACGGTCAAATGGAAGAGATGCATAGCACCAGGTATGGGTGAGGGAGAGCCACTTCCTCTCACCACTCTCCTGTGTTCATTGACCCATAAGTGCCCTGAACCTTATCAGTGAAGGGGTTCGGTGGAGGTTCCAGTACAGAGGAATGACTGGTTAAATCCTTGCTGCTGGTGATTAACTCAGTCTCCAGCCCTTCTCACTTCCCCCTGGAGGTCCAGGGTTTGGCTAAAAGTTCTAACCCTTTCATCACAGGGTTAGTTTCTCTGGAAACCAGATCCCATCCTCCAAGCACATTAGGATGGACGCAGGTGTGGTTGGAAGGAGCTTATTATGAATAACAAAGGACATACCTCTCATCCTTATCACTCAGAAAAATTCCAAGATTTTTCCAAGCTCTTGTGCCAGAAATCAGTGTGAAGACCAAATACTATATACTTCTTACCAATCACAATATCATAGATCTATTGAGTCTTTCAAAATATTTCCTGACCTCATTCATAACTATATACTCCATCATTTAACTTCAAAATGTTCTAGTGAACCATTAATGCCCTGCCAACTGTTTCATAAGAGCTATATTCAAAAGAGGTTAAGGAAACATTGCCTCTTTTATTTTGAAGAAATAACCATACCTGAACTTGGAAGCTGGTATTAGTTAGGATAAATGGATAAAAGTGGCTTAAAGAACAAAGAAGGTCAGTTCTCTCTCATAGCATTCCAAGGTAAGAGGTTTAAGTTGCAGAACAACTCCATTTCATGCAATCATTGGTCTCAAGCATCCTAATTCAAGGCTTGGTTGAAGCTGGGTTGTTGGGAGTTCCTGCCAACAATAATAGAAAAGAAAGTAAGGAGGAGTAATGTTGAATAAATGTTGGCTTCCATAAGTCCAGTCCCAGAAGTGGCCCACATCATTGCATTTGCTCATTTGTTAAGAATTACACAGCCATACTTAACTGCAAGGGAGGTTAAGAAATTTGTTTATAGATGAAACACAAAACAACCATCATTCAGAACTACCTGAAAGCTGATGGAATGGAAGTCCTACAACTAGAGAAGTAAAGAAGAAAGCACGTCGAGACTGGTAGGAGAGGTGGAGGTGTGGAACAGGCTGGTCTGGACCTATGTGGGCTGCTTTTTTAATCCAGAGGGAGATAGTCCCTACAGAGGCTGCTATGAGGAGCAAGGGGTCCAGGATCCACACCAGACCCCCCAACTCAGGATCCCAGAGCTGGGAAGAGAAGTCCCCATAACTTTGGGCTGTAAAAACCAGTGGGGATTGAGGCTGAGGGACACGGAAGCTACCAGAGACCCAGGTGTCCCTCTTAAAGGGTCAGGCACAAACTTAGACTCACTTCCTCTGAGCTCCAGTTCCAGGAGGCATTGGGGAACCTAGACACATATGGGGAGGAACTGGGTTGTCTGGCATCGGGGCAGGAACTAGGGATGGCTTTCTACCAGATGGAGATACTCGGGAGGTGCTCACAGGGGTCATTGTTCCTATGCCAAGACCTCCCCAACCCAGGGGAGGTAACCATATCTGAGTCCCCATCAACTTGGAGCACACTGTTTGCCCTGCCCTGGTGATTTGATGAAACCCTGCCCCATCCAATTTGCAGCCCCACCCAAGTTGTTTGCAGCAGTGTTTCCATATGAATGGCCTGTTCTGGCTTAGGCTTTAGATTTTGCTAAAGTCTCTCAAGCCAAGGCTGGTGTCAATATGCCCCAAACCTATCGATAAAAGGCCCAAGACCCGGCACCAGCACCAGCCTGCCTTGCTTCACAGCTGGACCTCACCTAGGCACTTCCAAACCCAATACAAATAGGAAGAATCTGCAGATCTCTCTGTAGCTCCTGCTGGGTGGCCTCAGGCAGTGGCTGACTTTGCATATCCCTGGAAACCCAAGAGCCAGTGGACAGCTTCAGACCATACCAGATTACAATTCTACACATCCATGAGCAACACATGCAAAGGGAAGACTCAGCACCAAAGCCCCACTGAAGCAAAGTCCTGCTCCATGGGGGTGTTTCCTGCACAGCAGCTCTCCCACTGTAGTCCCAGCTAGTTCTCACAGTCAATTGGCCTGGTGATTAATTCCTCAAGTGACGCCGACAGCAATCAAGTCTCAACTGCAACAAGACTGTGCTCACAGCCCACAAAGGGGTGCACCTAGAGTTCACAGCTCAGTTGACTGGGGAGGCTGAGCCACTGGGCCCTATAGGACACCTACTACA